CCTTTAAGCCTTTCCTCTTGGGCTAGTGACATACCCCAGAGTAGAGTCTTCCAGTTTCCTGCCTGGGTGACAGAGCCCCTGCTCCCAGCACTTTGGGAGCCCGATGGTGGGAAGGCTCAGACTCTCTGCACTCAGCATTCCATATGACAGGGCATGTAATCCTCTTGCTTTCACAGTTTTCAGCATGGTATCCCCGTTCATAACTGTATTTGAAACTTCCTCTAACCAACACCCTCTATCTTACCTTCTTCAGAGGTAAAGCCTCCAGACTCTGGCTGGGGTAGGGGAAGGCCTGTTCCCCAGTGACTTGGAGAAGAGCTCTAGAGCTCTAACGCCTTCTCTTTCTGGTCCTTACAGCAGCCTCTCCCACAGTTCCAGAGGTACCTTGGACCGCCAATTTCTGCACCTTCTGAGAACCTTGCAATGTGTATCATGTTGGCTCTCAGTTTCCCCCACTGCCAGCTGACACGTCTTTTTCTTCAGGGCTGATAAGTCAGTAGCCACATGGATGTCTGCCACCCTGCTTCAGAAATTGTGTGGCTGTTTTCTTTTTTTCTGTTCACTCCATCCTTATAGGTTTATCTCTTGATTTAAAAAATCTCTTTATTGATATTTTAGTGGGGTTTGGGGAGGGAGTGAAATTAGAAGTATGCATACAATCACCATCTTAACCCAGAGCCCTACCTTTCCTTTTCAATATATTTTTAAAAATATAATTCCTGGGAATAACCCTACTTAGTCATGGAGGACTGCTGTTTTAATGTACTGGGGTTTGTTTATTTCTGTCTTTCCATTTAGAAGTCTTAAAGTGAACATGACTAGCAGGAAATGAGCCTTTCTATGAGGAGGATTCAAGGAAAATGTCTCCAGTGGGATAACTTTTATTTAATATATAAGCGAAAACCAGAGGCTGGATCCCAGTATGCAGCCTCCAGGTAGCCCCTAAAGGACCAGACCCTGTAGTGAGCCCTGAGGGGATGCCCTTTGCAATGTTTGTCTAAGGACCCAGAATAAGTCTCAGGCTTCGCTATTTGACGTTCCCTGGAGAGGGGCTCAGCTGGTGGTACGATTTTATTTTATATCATTTGGGGGAATTCTGTGATAAGAGAGTGAGTCCTGGATGTCTTTTTTATTTTAAAAAAAATTAGTAAATGTATTGGGGTGACATTGTTTAATAAAATCATATAGGTTTTAAGTGTATAATCCTATAACACATCATCTGTGCTTTGCACTCGAAGTCAAATTGGATGCCTTTCTAAAATGCAACCAATTGCTCACTTGGGCCCCAGAATCATTCATTCATTTATTATTCACTTATTTAATATTCACTGAGCATGTACCATGGGCAAAGTGCTATGCTAGCTCTCTATACTTGCGACAGAACCTGTCCTAGGTAACTCTGTAAGGACCCCCTTGAAAGCCTTGAAGAGCAGCTAGGGAGGGATAGATGGAAAGGGGGGTCAGGGTCACATCCAAAGGGGTAACTTGTGACAATAATTTTTCTCTCTCTGTGGCTTGTGATGGGGAATAAGTGAGGGGACTCCTAAAGCATCTAGCATGGTTCTTGGCACACAGTAGGATGTCTGGGTTTTTAAATATATATATTTTTACNAAGTGAGGGGACTCCTAAAGCATCTAGCATGGTTCTTGGCACACAGTAGGATGTCTGGATTTTTAAATATATATATTTTTACTGATTTCAGAAAGAGGAAGGGAGAGAGAGAGAAACATCAATGATGAGAGTCATTGATCGGCTGCCTCTTGCACGCCCCCTGCTGGGGATCCAGCCCACAACCAGCATGTGTCCTAACGGGGAATCCACCTACATTCCTGAGGCTGCACACTTTTGACTTCACTGTTCTCCTCTTGCCCCTGAATGGAAACAAGTTGTAAGTTTAGCTCACCATTCTCCCTGGCAGACATTTCTGAAAATCTAAGTATTTTTGAGAAATCAGTTTTAGCAAAAAAAAAAAAAAAAGTTACACACATGAATTGATATTCACCAGTCCACCTGTGCCTATGGGGGGCATTCTCTGTAGCAGCACAACTGTTGAAAGCCCTCAGGTGGTGGCGAGGGCAGCAGAGAGACTGGGTTCAAGTCCCTGCAAGCTGTGTAATCCTGGGCAAATTCGTTACTTTTCCTGGCCTTAATGTACCTATCTGTGAAATGGAGACACAGTGTTTGCGGTGAGAACTCATGAGATAAAAGGTGCAGAAGTGCCTATTACACTTCTACTCACGGCTTAATAAACATAGTGGGTCTTCCTCTATGGGGGTGCCATTCTGGGGCCAGGTGTGTGTGTGTATGTGTGTGTGCGCGCGTGTAGGCGAGTGCGCGCGCACACGCGGTGCTCAGGCCCGCGGGTGTGTTTCCCGGGAAGGCCCGCGTGCGGGTGGCTGCGTGTGACCGGCCGCCCTGGGGGGGTGTGGCTGCCCGCGCCAGGCTGAGAACGAGGCG